GGTATCTGGGGTTTGTCTTAAAGAAGGGCACAAGGTTCCAGACCCTAATTGGGTCCTATATACTGATGGCACTAGCCTGATAAAACAAGGGCAACGGCTGTCAGGTTAGCCAAAGCGGAAGGGGCCATCAAGACTGAAAACGGATGGTGAGAATTGCCAAGTGGCAAATTATTGGTACCGGAGGAGCTGGCACACACTCTGGTAAACCAAACACACCAAGCGACCCACCTAGGCCATGCTGCCTGCTCACAGGTTAATGCTCCCTCTCGGTTATTCAGACAAAAACCTCCGGGTATTCAGCTGAAAGGCACGCTGCCCCTTGAACACGTGGGAGTGGACTTCACTGAAATGAAACCTCACCGAAACTACCATTACCTGCTGGTCATGGTATGTGCGTTCCCAAGATGGGTAAAAGCTTTTCCTACCTGGACTGAAAGAACATCAAAAATAGCCCGGTGCCTGCTTAGGGAAATAGTTCCCAGATTTGGATTTCCTACTAGCATTGGATCGGACAATGGCCTGGCTTTTGTAGCTGATTCAGTACAACAGGTAAGCAAAACTTTAAACATCAAATGGAAACTGCACACTGCATATAGGCCCAGAGTTCTAAGATGGTGGAATGAACCAACCGGACACTTAAAGAGACTCTCCAAGTGGATCATAGAGACTGACTGATCCTGGATGGACTTGCTTCTGACGTCTCTGCTCAGACTCAGGATGGCCCCACAGTCCCAGGGTCATTCTCCATACAAAACTGTGTATGGGAGCCCTCCTCCCATAATAAAACAGGTGTCAACAAATCTGTCTCAGGTAAGGGGGGATAAGATTTCACAGCAGATGGAACTGGGTAAGGTAATGAATCGGGTAACTAAGTTTGTACAAAAAAGGGTGCCATTCCCCTTTGGGGAACAGATTCATGAGTTTACACTTGGTGACCAAGTATGGGTCAAAGATTGGAAATTTGATTTACTAGCCCCTTGGTGAAAGGGCCCTTAGGTTATTCTAACTACCCCTGCTGCAATTAAAGTTGCAGGTATTGTCCCTTGATCCATCATACGAGGGTAAAGAGAGCATACCGTGCAGACCCAGAAAACGCTGAGTGGACTGCACAGAGGGACCCTGCTGACCCTCGAGAGACTAAGACCATCCTTAAAAAGAAAGAAAAGAAGATCCCGGACGAGCCCCCCCTCAGGATGAAGCCACACAATCAACTCCTGTTGCTTGGCCTCATCAACGTGATTTTGAATTTAACTTTCGACAATGTTTTCATCTCATGGGCACATTCCTACGCGGACTTCCACAACACCTACAACTTTTGGGTATGTTGGGCTATGCCTCTGTCTGTGATGGATGGACTTCATTGGTGGGTGTCACCGCTCTGCCAAGGAGATTTTAAACCACTCTGCTCTTTTCTGGGATGACAAAAAGAGACTTTCCTCTCTCTTGTCAATCATAACCTCTCCTTGCTCTCTTGGTATAAGACCAACAGTCAATAGACTCGGGTCATGGGGTTACATTTGATATAAATGCCAGTGTAACAAAAGCTTAACTTACAACAAGCCCCCGTAAATCTACCTTATTTATATGCTAGGTGGACAAGATCTGTATTTCAATGGTATGAGTATATTGCTGCCTTATTTGTACCCTCTATAGGGACAACAGATATTATGATTAAAGTAGAGGCCTTGAGTGTTGGGTGGGTGAAAGTTAGCGCTAGCAGAAGGGGTAAGGGCAAAAATAAATAAATAAATAAAGTAGAGGCCTTGACTAATTTCACAAAACAAGCCCTCCTAGATAGAACAAAAGCCATCCAAGCCTTAAATGAAGAGCAAATCCAAATGAAGAAAGTGGTAATTCATAATAAAATGGCTTTGGGCATACTCACAGTTGCTCAAGGAGGGACCTGTGCTATAATTAAGGTTGAATGCTGTGTATACATTCCTGACTTATCTGACAATGTATCAACTGCTTTAGATAACATGAAAAACCAGGTAAAAGCAATGTCAAATGAAAACATTCCTTTCTGGACTTCGGTCCTATCTTGGGTGAAGGGTGATTGACGAAAAACTATATTTACCACTGTTATAGTTGCCTTGATAGTTCTGCTTTGTAGACCCTGAATTTTACAATGTATTATGAACTCTGTAACCCGAAGATTGATGTCTTTCTCCCTAATTGGCAGTTGGAGAGCCAGGGTGCAATATATTCCTATAAATGATGCTCATAATATGAGTTAAGAGCATCAAGAGGGGGGAATGAAGAAGGAATTCATAGGGCCTGGACTCCATCTCAGGCCTGTCCATGCTGATCGTGCTCAGCCACCTCTCCAGTGGACTCTGAACTCTTGGCCTAGTGCCTGTGGGAATGACAAAGGAAGGATAAGACCCCCTCCGGACAGGGGAACCTTGAAGATCATATCCAGGTTACTCATCACCTAAGAGAAAACATACCGTAATCACCCCTGCCTCCAGACAGGTCATAAATTTTTTTCCCTATATCTATCGGGATGTAATCACAGGCTTATCGATTATTAACTGGTTGGAACGTGACCACAAGTTTATTGATTATTAACTGTTTGGAATGTAACTGCGAGCTTATTGATTATTAACTCTTAGAACACATAACACATGAATGATGGGGTTATTGTAGTTGTATTTACCCTTCCTTTGTTTATGTAAGTCTCAAGGAAATTGGGGTGGTGAGTTTGGACACATCCACATGGGGTATAAAAGATTTTCACAAATGCTGGTCAGGGCCCTTGGCTAAGAGGAGACTGCCTTGGGCCTGCCAGTGTAATAAACTGCACTCCACTATCTACATTGTCCTTCTGAGTGAGTTTGTTTTGTTATAGCCACGCTTATCGGAATGTAACCATTCAGATACTGTCCGGAGGCAGGGGTGATTAGTGTCTTCCCTGCCCAGAGGGGGGTCTTATCCTTCCATTGTCATTCCCACAGGCGCTCTTCAAGATTCCCCTGCCCAGAGGGGGTCTTATCCTTCCATTGTCATTCCCACTGGCGCTAAGCACAGAGTTCAGAGTCCACTGGAGAGGTGGCCGTGCAAGACCAGCACGGACAGGCCTGAGATGGAGTCCAGGCCCCATGAATTCCTTCTTCAGTTTCCCGGAACGCATGGCTATAACAATTCCTTTTGTACTTTGTGTGGTCTCTTATTTCTTCCATGCCAAGTGTTAAACGAGGAAGGGCTACACTATAACAAAGGCATTGCTAAGTCACTTCAGTCGTGTCCGACTCTGTGCGACCCCATCCTTGGGATTCTCCAGGCAAGAACACTGGAGTGGGTTGCCATTTCCTTCTCCAATGCATAAAAGTGAACAGTGAAAGTGAAGTCGCTCAGTCATGTCTGACTCTTCACGACCCCCAGGCTCCTCCGTCCATGAGACTTTCCAGGCAAGAGTACTGGAGTGGGGTGCCATTACCTTCTCCGTATAACAAAGGCATTACAGAGGTGCAAAAATGACATCGTGGAGTTATGTAAGAGTGGCTGTCTTAGAAAAGTTTCCAACACCAGACCATTCCCACTGTTACTCCAGAAGACTAGAGGGATTATAAAGATGAGCATGTGACACACGGAATCAGACAACAGGCCCCAAGGACTTCACAAGCTGTTCAAGGAGGCAGAAGATCTCATCTGAAACCATTGAAGGGGAAGAGGAATCCTCGGATACAACAGGCACATAATAGGGAGGAGTTAAGAAGCTGCCAAACAGGATTTAACTCACAAAGAGCTTAAAAATCCACCTCCGGAGTTTTCCTATCCTACGTAGCAGCAAAAGAAGCCTAGCTCTGAAATTACCATGGGAACCTAATTTTGCTTTACAAATGCTGGCTCCTGGCCCGATTTCTGAAGATCAACTAAACAAAGGTTTTCTTTATCAGTCAAAGTTCTCAGATTCCTATGCTAATAAGTACTATCAATCTAAGCAGGAGACTGATAACCATAGAAAGAGAAAGAGATTTTAAAAATGTGTTGAATATATTCTAAACAAACTAAGACATCCTAGTGGCAAGAAGAAAATGTTGTCACTCTTTTACTTTTTGGAGCATTTTTTAAAAATTCAATTGAAATAATGATTAAAGGCAAATTGAATGCTCTATACGCTGTGTGGCCCATGAATCAACAGCAGCAGCAACACATGGGAGAATGGAAGAAATATAAGTTCTCTGGAGTCCCCTGGCAGTCCAGTGGTTAAGACTCAGGGCTCTCACTGCCAAAGGCCTAGGTTCAATCCTTGGTCAGGGAACTAAGATCTCACAAGCCATGCAGCATGGTTAACAAAACAAAGGAGAGAGAGAGAGAAAAAAAAAAAAATACAAGTTCTCAGGCTTCAACCCAAACCTGCTGAATTGGAATCAACATTTTAACAAGACTCCCAGGTCATGTGAACATTAAAGTTTGTGAAGCACTATGTATGTAACTTTTAAATTATTATACATAATAAAGGCATATATCTGTTTCTGACAGTGTCTGTGGAACAATGCAATTAATACGTTAAAATAATACTTATTTCATATAAGATACAACTGATACTGTTAATATAACAAAATTGTTCTCCTTAGATCTTGCATAACTTAGATTTTTTTGATACACATTTACTTTGTTTTGAAATCATTTGTGTTATGTGTTATGTGTTAGGAAAATTAGCAAAAACAAGTCACTCTGAATTTTCAGATCTTCAGTTTGAAGGAAGACTTAAAAACTTTTTTTGGCCTCACCCTTGGTTTGTGGGGTCTTATGTCCTTGACCAGGGATCGAACCTTAGTCCTTGGCAATGAGAGCCTGGAGTCCTAACTACTGGACCGAAAACTGAGAGTAAAATCAAGGATCCTGAGGGTCTTGAAGTTCCATGGGCAACACCAAGAGCATCATGGTAGCCATTTTTAGGCATTAGGTAGATACCTGTTTTTAGCTGAAACCTAATTTGGAAATAACTCTTCCTGAGGAATGAACAAGATTCTGCACCCAGTTCCACTGTAACCATGGGAGAAGGCCAGCAGGCTGCGAAGATAAGGTCTGGGGCAAGCAGTCGGCATGAACATGAGGCCAACACATTGCATTCCCGGGTAAGATACAGAAAATGTAAGGGCAGGCTTATTAGCAAAGTGTTGGACAGAAGCAAACCCTCCCTAAGAGTCTCCTAAGTCAAAGTTTGTTCTTAGTACCACCCTTGAGCAATTGTACACAAGACCCAAGAAATCATTCTGCTGTGAATAAGGATGAATCTGAAAAAAAGAAAGAAAACCCTAGTGATCAGCGCAAGATCCACAGAGTAGAATCAACAGAACCCCAAATACAAAAGAAAAATGGGTTCTCTTCACCTCTTTGTCCAGATTAACCCCTGTTTTTGCAGGCTGACCTGCTTTATCCCATCGCCTCCCCCGAAATTAACCTCTTCCAGCTCTTTTCGTGTCCCGGGCTAACCCGTTTCCTTACCAGGCTAACTCAGGCTAGCAAACCTGTCCCTGTCCCGGCCTAACTCTCCCAGTACCTTAGCCAACCTTGCTTTCTCATGTTACCGCCTTCCCTTGACTCCTCCCCTCACACGCAAAATCTTATTTGCTAATGCCTTCCCACATTTCATTCTAATTCCCTTTCCGGAAAGTCCAGAGTCACATCTGCTTACTCAGGGTCGTTAATCCTTTTCTGTGTTCTCTTTTGCGTTTTTAATCTCTATTTCTCCTGATGCCTCTCCCATCAATACCTAAAATGCTTTTGTTTTTTATCATCCAAATTCTATCCTGGTGCTTCAGGGTATGTGGGGTGAGGCGCGGTTAGGAGGTTGGTTGGAACATCACAGGCCAAGAACTGGCCGTTGTTGAAGCTGGATAATGAGTATATTTGGGTGGGGGGTGGGGGGAGGTCATTGTACTACTTCTGTGCATGTTTGAAATATTCCATAATAATAAAAAAGTTTTAACCTAAAAAGCTATCCCTTGATTCCATGCTGCCTTCCAGATACAATTTAATCTTCTCCAAAGAGTCGTTTACATTTGTCTCCTCTTCCCACCCACTGCTGTCTGGCTTTTACCTTCAGAAAAAAAGAAAAGAAAAATGGTCCATATCTGCCTAGTCTCCAGTTTCCTTAGGAAAGAACAAGAAGTCACTATCAGAATCTCCTCTGTGTGCATTGATAGTTTGCTGTAACCACATCCCTTAGAGGTCCAGTGGTTAAGAAGACATGCTTCGACTGCAGGGGGCATGGGTTCCATTCCTGTTGGGGGAACTAAGTTTCTGTCAGTTGTGTGGATCCCCCCCAAAAAAGAGCTGGGGCAGCTCCAAACTTTTCTATCACATTCTTTGGCAAAGAGAACAAACTCACAGCAATATTTTAGATCTCAGCATGCACAGTGATATGTTAGAGCTATTTACAGCGACTTTAATCTCGCAATGGTATTATATGATTCTTCTTTGGTCCAGGCTTCTGAGTTGGTTCCATGAGCAATGAGGACATTTCTGGCACTCAAAGCTCCACATGAGTCTTTTCCAGATGTCCATGCCTGACAGCAACTCTAAACAGTTTATTCAAGGAGTGGTCTTGTGACTTTCACAGTGTTAGGAACTATTAATATGTTTTTCCATATGGTTCCCCTAGAGCAGAATGAATAAAAGGAATCGGGGGTAGAGGAGGGGCAAATAGAGCAGAAGGAGAACTGAAACAAGGAGATACACCGCTCGGATTACCAGGATTGACCACGATAGCAAAATGATGATGGAGTAAATGGATTTGAGCTCTACATGTAGGTAACTTCAAAGGAAAGTTTACCTCCTGGCAGCACCGATAGGGGCCTGAGCCCAGGAAGGAGTTGCAGGAGGGATCTTCAGATCCACAACCCTACTCCTGTAGCATATGTGGGCATCCTTGCCTCCTCACCACACTCTAACTCATAAAGGTCTCCAGGTGTCTGAAGGCTTTCAGATGTGCCCCCATGACCATTCCGCGTGGGTATTTCTGCTCAGGTGTATGGGTGCCTCATACTCTTAGGAAGTTCACTCAAGAGGACGTGAGGATGCCAAGGCAGGATGGCAACCCATAATACTCACACATGAATACCGATGGCCAGCAGAGACCTCTGTCCTCTTCTATTCTGAGTATGTTATCTGTAGTCTGCATATACTGTATCATGTTCGTCGACAGCATCCAAACAGATTCATCATATCCCTGAGATGTCCCCCAATAACCCATGTGTTAGTACCAGGCAACCATATCTTTGCTGAATGGGTGGATGTGATGATGGAACTTGACTTGATTATGAAATAGGAAAAGCCTGTCTTTCATCCATTGTGGAACTATCTCTTTCAGCATGGAGCACAGAGCGTCCAGTAGGGATAAGAACTAGGATTGAAAGCTATGTCCATCAACAGGAAAAATATGTCTGAAATCCTGCCACCAAGCTAGGCTTGTGAGGATGCCCTTGCTACTGCCACTGACCACACTTGCTCTAGACCTTGGACCTTGTTGTTAGAACCATGACCCCCACATCTCTGGAAACTGACTGTAGTAGTACTACCAAGCCAGGTAGATTCCATCTAGGTTGCTCTCTTGGCATCAGTAGTTCCTAGGTCAAACTCTTGTGTGGGTAAGTTCAATTGACAGAGATTAGGTAGGTATCTGGCCAAGTGGGTAGGAGGTAGGGCATTGTTGGGCATGACCCCTTTCCCCTTCTAATCCAGACCAAATATTCTTCTGATGTCTATGCTCCATGCCATCCTGTGATTCAGAAAAGATGAATTCAACCACCTCAGGAGTTGAATCTAGACCTTTTAGGAATTGCATTGCCTTGCCAGTGGACTTGTGATCCAGTTTTAACCAGTAAGATGTGAGGGTAAGTCTGTTACAGGTAATATAGATACCAAGACACTCAGTTCTAACTTAAGGTGAACAAGAGAAAGTCCTCTGTATCAAAGAGAGCCTCATAATCTCAATATGTTTTGTCAGTGCCCTTTACTCTGTGTGTGTGTGTGTGTGTGTGTGTGTGTGTGTGTGTGTGTGTGTGTGAGATGTATCAGGAGAGAGCTGGCCTGCTCTCACGACGGGGCATGAATAGGGGTGGGATCAGAATGGGGTGGGATCCTTAGCACCATTTCCCCCCATTAAGTTCTTTAGTCATAGTACATGGAGTCTTGAGTGTTTCCGGGACACATGCCAATATCTGGGTCTAAAAAACAGTCATCAGCTTCAAAACATCAAAAGAAAACTATAATATTGAGACAGTTATTTAATTAAATATTCATACAACACAACTAATGACAAATCCTTTCATTGCCAATTTTAATGTTTATAAAAATTTTAGTGAAAGTGATTTGAAAGGCCTGATTTTCTCACCACACAGGAATTTCTAAACATATACACTGTTTGTAAGGATATCTATGGATAGAGACAGAGTCAATCAAGGAAATGTTTTGCTTGTAGCCACAAAATTTCACTTCCCTGGTGGCTCAGACGGTAAAGAATCTGTCTGCAATGCAGGAGACCTGGATTCGATTCCTAGGTTGGGAAGATCCCCTGGAGGGGGAAATGGCAATCCACTCCAGTATTCTTTTTTTTTTTTTTTCATTTATTTTTATTAGTTGGAGGCTAATTACTTTACAATATTGTAGTGGTTTTTGCCATACATTGACGTCAATCAGCCATGGATTTACATGTGTTCCCCATCCTCCAGTATTCTTGTCTGGAGAATCCCAAGGACAGAGGAGCCTGGTGGGCTACAGTCCATGGAGCCGCAAAGAGTCAGGCATGACTGAGCGACTTTCACATACATACAAAATTTCAAAGCAAAATCCTTTCCCAAATGATTCCAACATTAAATACCTTCAGTAGGATGTGAATGCATTTTGACTTGGAAACTAATGTGGGGTGGGACTTACCAGAAATGTTTGGAGGCAAGGCCAGTTCTGTGGACATGCAACCAGGGCAATAGCACAAGGCCCCTATGTTTAGAAGGTGCTTCCCAGGTGGCACTAGTGGTAAAAGATCCACCTGTCAATGCATGAGACTCAAGAGACTTGGGTTTAATCCCTGGGTCAGGAAGATCCCTTGGAGTGGGAAATAACAACCCACTCCAGTATTTTTGCCTGGAAAATCCCATGGATAGAGGAGCGTGGTGGGCTATAATCCATGGGGCTTCAAAGAGTCAGATCTGACTGAGCACACCTATTTAGAAGGGCCTTGAGATTGGTTTAATGATTTGCTATTGTTATCTTGGAAGTTTTGATAATTTTTAAAAAATGAACCTAGCACTTTCACTTGTCACTGGGACCTACAAACGGTATAGCTGGTCCAGTCCAGAACTTAATAAGATTTCGAAACAGCCCTGGGTGGAGCTATGCATCATTCTAAAACAATAAGGCTATTGCTTCCTTTGCTTGCTATTTTTAAGTATTCTGTTTAATTCATTTGAAAAATGTATGAGATTTTATAGATTTTAAAAGTTAGGAAAATATTAAACTACATGAAAAGACAAAACTCCCATTAACCAGAGACATGAACCAACATCAGAAGGCATTACAAACAGCGCCAAGAATTTACAAAAAAATAACGGGTGCCTCAAAATTAAATTCATACTAAGCACTTCAAAAGGGATTGGCGGCCAAATTGCATCTAGGCTGGGAACCAAGAGTGAACAAACATTTACCTCCACAGATTAAATTTTAAGTTGGCTGCAGGACATTTTCAGCTAGTTCAGATAAAGTTGTGATATAGTTGTGTTCACAATCCATCAAAGTGCTGTCTAGACAGAGGATGGCATTTTCTGTTTGGGGAAATCAGGGGAGGAAAAACCTCAGGGCCACATCCTGCTGATATTCAAGGGGACTCAATGGCAGGATAAGGCCCTGAGCATTCACTTAACCCTCCCCTTTCCTCCCACGCCCTGAGGAGTCAAGGGCCAGGTGAGGACACTGCCATTTGTAGACATAAAAGGAAAACTCAATCCAGGGGCTGGTGAATGGAGACACACACTCCCTAGGAGTCCCCAGAGCTCTCCAGACAGGATGAAGGGAGGAGAACCAGCGAGAATGGAGTGGTTCCTCAGCTTTCTCGTCAGTTTAATTCATTAAATAAAAT